AAGGGCTTTCAGACGGGCTTCAGACGGACATGTTTCAACAAGAAATACTGTGTTAGTTTCTTGTTTGATCAGTCATTAGTGATGGGAATTACGGCTCTTTGAAGGGAGCCAGACCTTACTGTATGGCTCCGTTCCTTTCCGAGAGCCTGTCAAAAGAGCAGTTTTTTTTTTAAGAGGCCGGGGTTAATAGGTTTATCTGCTAAATTATCACCAGGATAATGAAGGACTGTATTGCCAGAAATCTACTTTTACTCACAGAAAAATGTATAACTCTCAGCCAGCCAAACTACTACTCAAGCAGCATGCGTTATGCCATCATCTATGGAACATTTGCATTCAGGAAAGCAAGTTCCCGTAAAGGCGAGTGGATTTATAGCAGGCAGTGAACCAACGATAAAAAGAACGGCACCCACCAAGTAGGACTCGGTTCCCTTTGCTTGTACCAAAGAGCCGTTCAAAAGAATCGGATCGTTCGGGACCGTAACATCACTATCAGTCATAGTTACAGCACTTTGGGACAGTAATGTTTAATAATAACAAGAAAACACTAATGTCTGATGGGTGTACAATGAAAAGACAAAAGGTTTTTTCTCAAAGCTTTGACAAACCAATTATCTGATTATCAGCTGTCAGTTGAGTTGGAGGCGTTAAGGAGCATCTTTCGGCTAGGTTTTTTGTAATGAGTCCTACATTTGACATGTTAAATCGTAGCGGACGTTACTGGCAAAAACGAATAACTCTGATTGGCTGTTCAACTCAAGTGCACGGGAAGATAAATGGATGCAAGAAAAACAAACAAATGACTATTTTAAGATGGCAGACAAAGAAGCCCTTCACTTTTTACTTCCATCTCACCCGTTGATTATAATACTTGGACTTAATATCATACCAATAGTTGGGAAAATAAATGTTAATGTCGGCCGAAGCACGTTGCCGGATGACAGACCATGCTATATCCTCTGTATGATCCCAATTTTCAGATTTTTCTTTTGTGTATTTGGATGATAACGTGCAGTTATGTCGTTGTTTCTGGCTGCATTTATATACATTTTCCCCTTTTTCACAAGCACTCACACACAAATGACCGTAAGCTATCATGCACAGTGCTGATCAATTTAGGGTTCAGTGTCTTTCGTCGGGGCAATTCAACATGTAGATCGATCATCTGCCCTGTGATTGGTGGATACATCTACCTCAGTCATCCATTTCAGTCATTTTTCTTGCCTTAGGGCTGCGGTTCCCGGCCCCGTAGTGGTCCGCGAAGGCATTGCAAGTGGGCCGACAAAATAATTTGCAAAACATTATGATTTGTGTGGAAATATTTCATTATTAAGATTTTTTTGTATTTGAACCTCTTTTCCTTTCTCTTTCTTGGTCCTCCTTAGCAACGGTCATTATAGTCCTTGACAGCGGTCTGTTCTACTGGATTAACAACCTGTCACATGTTCTGAATTGACCAATCAGAATCGAGTATTCAACTAAACCGTGTAATAGAAATGTCTGTTTGTTACTGATGGCCAGCTCCTTTTCTAATTAAAATAAAAAGTGTTCTGAGAACTTTATTTAGCATCCGTAATGTTTATGGTTGAATGTGGGCCGCGACATTTTTTAGATTCTTAAGTGTGCCCTGAGTTGAAAAAGGTTGGGAACCACTGCCTTAGGTGATGGTAAATATGTCCTGATTCCCCTTGTTTTGTAATCTGGTGCAACATAATTGGAAATGTTGACCCCTTGGTGAAAGAGGATCACCAAAAAAAAGTGTAATCCTATTCACAGATATAGTTTCTAAACAAAACATGTCTTTATAGAGTTGATTCTGTATCACCTGCTAAATGAAGTAATGAGTGACTTGTGTCTTGTATGTACTGTCTAAATGTACATCTCTTTATAGCTGAACACCTGAAATGATCTTACATAAAACAAGTTGTCCTTACACGCCGTCTGTGTTGATAGTTTTTTCCCGTTGTCATCCTGCAGTCTATTGGTTTATATTGATTTTTTACCAGAAAGCAGTGCTCAACTTCAGGGAATTCACTTTGTTTAACAAGCATACACCAATTTGCATGAATTATCTTTAAGTGTTTTGTAAGTAAATCAAAGTCAGGAAGGATCAGCTTGAGATAGCTTCAGCCTGATTGGGTTTGGATGACAGAGTAAAAGCCTTAAGTTAATTACAAAGAAGAAGGGTGTCTCTATCTCTGCTCACACAGAAACACACACAAACTATTTGAAACTGTTTTATTCAGTATCATGTTTTCATGTAAGGTTCACAATCCATTTAAGATGTACATTTAATACCGTTGTGTTTTGTTCTTCGTAGTTAACTTATAATTAACTTATTTTGTTTTTAAATGAGTTGTCTTAAAGGCTTCATGTTTCTATTTTACCTCCCCTTCAGACAGTTCATTCTGTTAATTGACAAGTATCGTTCATTTCCACTTCATTTTACTTAGTTTTTTAACATTGTTGATGTAAAAACACATGTATTACCTATAATAAAATACATATATTTGAAATATAATTCACTGTAGTTTGTCATATATTGTAATACATTATTTTTAGTTTTTTAGCTTTTGAGATTCTTTTGTACAGTATAATTACATTTTAATTTGGTGTGAATACTTGTCTTTTTTCTTTTTTAAAGGCTAAATAGTTTCTTAAAATTACTTTCTTTTTATTGTCGTTTAATCTTTGACCTAGTCTTACAACGTATTTCTTATATCGTTTATGTTTGCATCACAATACACCAAAGCAAATTCCTTTCATGTGTAAATGTACCTGGCAATAATTCTTATTCTGATTCTGACATGTCAATCAACTCAAATCCGAAAAACATTTGGAAAAGAGATGTTTTGCCTTCAGTCATTACGATAAAAACAAACACAGAATATGAACACTTACTGCAATGTGAACATAGTATTGCATTCAGTGATCTTCCTCTCGTTCAGCTTAAATGTAACCTCAAAGGGAAATAAATAGCACAGCAGCTAATTTTACCATAAAACCTTTCACCAAGGACATCTAATCGGTGCAGTATTCTGCTCAAGGAGACAGAGCACTGCTGTTGTTATGATTAATGACGAACAATCATTAGCTGAGAGCGATGAAACAAGGATCTCAAATCTTGCTCTTGCTGCCATCTTGTGGTTTAGATACTCCCACCTAGTATAACTCAGACTGCATGATTTCAAATGACATCACTGGTCATATGTGCAACAGACTGAGAGAGTAAACACAGCGAGGCTTAGTAGCAATTCAGGTTGATTACACTGATGATGTAAGAGAAGAAGAGGGTCTAAAAACACAGCTAATGTATCACACATCTACGGTGAAACTAAACACATTGAGAGAAACAAGGTCCCGTGGTTTAATAAGGTTAAACTGAAGCACTCTTTTGTGCACCAGTCAATCCTATGAATTAAATAAAAAGTTAAATCCAGGGTCAAATGAACACTGAAGGGTCTTGAACATATTTGTCTTGAGAGATGGTAATAATATGTTAAATGTCTGTAATGTATCATGTCTTCATATTTGCCTTTGACATCTTTCTTGCATCAAAGCAGCTCCATTTGCAACTTAAACACACTTGATTTGATATTGTAGTGTATTGTGTGGTATTAACAATGCATCATAATCTTCTTTTAACCCTCAAGAGGTTTCTGTATCTAGGGGGAAACAGTCATTTGACAGGCTGGGTCCATGTGTAACACGGGTGTAATATTGTGTATAATGGGTGTTATGAGAGTGTAAATACGGTGTAATAATGGCGTTACATTGGTTTTACATGGGTGTCACCTGGGTGTTATATTTGTGTAATAATGGAGTAATATGGGTGTGATAATGGTGTGTATGCATGTGTTATATGGGTGTGATATAGAATATAGCAATCCATTTATTTTCCAAAATATCTATACGTGATTGTCCATTAAAGGGTTAAAGCTTTTATATTATTGAGGTACGAGTGTGATGTAAGTTTTAAGTTGAACAACTTTGAGTATGCTCTTGACTTTCTAAGTAAGTATGTAGGCTACATCCCTGACTGAACTGGAAGGTGTTTTTCTAAGGGGTAACATTAAGGGACGATTAAGGTGTTTGAAGTATATTGAAAAAGCTAAATTGCCCCCATAGTGGGCTGGTTTTTAAAGGCTTGTTTCCCTTAAGGATGCACTTTTGTGTTGCATCTGACTTTTTGAAGTACAGGAATGACTCTTTCCTTTTTCCAAATAGCCTCATGCGGATTTTTCCAAGAAGCTCACTGCTGATACATCTCTCATAGAAACCCAGATGAGGCTTTAGATGCTGCCTAACACAAAGAAAGCAATCTCCCCTGAATGCCTTTTTAGTGGAAGCAACTAAACAGATGCTTCCATTTGTAAAAGTGATAAAAAAAAATCTCAAATTTGAGTCGATTAACTTCACAAATGCAAACGCAGCAGGGCCAAAGTGCTGAATCATTCCCATCCAGGCACTCAGGCACTATTGACACAAATTGATTAGACATTACAGTAGAAGCAAGGGCTTTAGCAATATAATTATTGGATGTTGGTGTGATGCTTGTGTGCAAATGCAAAATGGCCTTGAGGCTCATATTGAATGTCAAAATGATTGTGAAATCAGAAAATGGAGTCATTGGGCTTATGCATAAGGATGTTGATTGTACATTTTTGGACTGATTTCAGTTGCATTAGAAAAATAAGACTTTTATAGGCTACATGTTTAATAAGCTTGAACCTGCTTCGATGAGAATGTGGTCTACATTGTGTAAACGGTGACAGTTTGATGCAAACAAATACAAGTGTAAATCATATTTGACTATCAGCAACAGGTACAGTGCGTAATCCTACACGCCTGTAATTGTAAACCACATTTTATGTGTTTATTTTTTTATTTTGCAATTCCACTTTTCATCATCGCGTCTCTGCTACACTCCCCCTCTGCCTTTTGTTTCCGAGGTGGAGCCTGATACCCCGACTTCTCCAAACTGAAGTGCCGGCAAAGCAAACAGACAGGCAAGGACCGGGAGGCGGTGGCACAGATCTGGGACCAGCAGATCGAAGAGGCACAAACCAGGCGGTTGCAAGGAAAGAAGGAGGATTTTGTAGAGGGTTTCGCACGGTTGTACTCTTTTTTACAAACCAGCTGCACGGAGGAGCTTCAAGAAAGATGAATTATTTCATTATGTTGTCGCTTTTTGCCACGGTTTTCGCCGGAAATGCACCTCGGCTGAAATTTGTTGTGCACGGTAAGCAGAGCTGAATTGTCCGGATAATGTCTGTTTGGTCACAAGTAATTAAACCAAATATGCGATGTAGGTGTTTTATTTAGCGATGTCAAGTGTTTTGTAGGTGATGGATCAATGAATGGCTGAATGGTTGGATGGATGAATGAGTGAACACAGTGAGAGGTTAGTCGAGGTGATGTAGCCAGTTTTTTTACCCCAGTTCTCCTCGTGATGTTTTGTCCTTTGCAAAAGATGCACAAACAGCACGAATAAAGCCATATTGACGGGGCTGTGGATTAATCTCTTAAAACACCGCCCTCCCCCCACTGACCGAGTAGTAAATTACGCGCTCCACCATTCAGGCCGGCACACATGTTAACTGGCTTTTACAGGATGAACATCTGGAGAAAATCTGATCTGCTTTATTATCTTACAATTACTAAAATGTAACATGTATTAAGACTTGTGTTAAGTGTGTCCTTAGCCTCGTATTTTTCCATTTATAGTCCAAGATTCCAATTTCCATCATATTTATTAATTATTTTGATGTGATTTGTACAACTTGTGGCTTTTTCTTTGTTTTTTTGGACAACTTGTGTGATGGCTTTTTCTTTCTCAGTGCAATGCAAGGTATCCGAATGCTCACTTTTGATATATATATAAATGCACCGTCCCTGTCATTGGCACACATGGGGTTTTATTGGCGCCTGTCCCTCCACATCAGCACCCCCAGGCGCAGTGAGAGGACTAAATCCAGAGGCACTTTAATAAAAAACAACCTCTCCTTTCCCTCCTGGAGTAATATGGCGCCGGTTTGCCTTGACCATTGTGAGGATGTACCCTTTAAAAGAGCCGCGTGCCACCGCGGAAAAGCATCGTTGCTGTGAAATATGACTCTTTGGGGGTTGACACAATCAGTGGAGCTCCCGCGTCCTTGCGGAGCTGCAATGCGGGACACAGCAGCTGCTTCACTGCAGCACTGGAGTCCAGCACCTGGAAAGAGAGGGTTGCAATAGAGTAAAACCCTTCATAAATACATTATGTTCATTTACACATATACAGACATGGAGAGAAATGGAGAGGAGGGCTTTGAAATGGAAAATTCCAAGCCAACCCCCTAGTTATCTATTCCACTCACGCATTTTTTACACCACACACACACCCCTCTAATGTATTCAGCAATCAGTAGAGATGGGGGTTGTGTGTCAAGTTATATGGATCTGTATGCCTCCCCTCCCCGCGGTTGAACACAGTACAAAACGCACAAGATGAAGGCCCCGGACGTGCAAGTCATATCAATCAAACTCGTTGTTATGCAATGGCAGGGAGGGCTGTTCATGCATGTAGTGATGGGATTATCTCGCACACACGCACACAGGTAAAATAAACTGTCAGAGGGAATCAATCAAGTGCGCACATTGAGCCTGAAGTGCAGAGCCTTCTCAATAATCTGCAGCTGCTGAAGGGCTGGCTGCTATATGTCAGCACCGTGGACAGCGCAGAGGTCCTCACAAGGTGAAGGGTCCCCACGTTGCACGTTAGATGAGAACATAGCTTCAAGGAACTTTTTCAGGGATACATAATGGCTTTAACATTCAGTGAAAATTGGGTTCATTTGAGGTTGGAAATGCTGTGATGGCTTGAAGGGGCTTAGTGAAAGAATGACTTTGCATTCATTTGGCAGACACATTTGTCCAAAGCTATTACAATAAGTGCACAAAACTGCAGGAGTGAAAAGACGGTTTCCCTGCCAAACAAACAAGTGCATTGTACCATTTAATTCTTCCATCTTGAAGACTACAATGTTAAGTGTATACAGTATGCAATCTGTTTTAGAGGGTTTAGTATACCCATAAATAGACAAAATGTTAAACAACGAAAAATCGCTTATTGATTGACAAGGAATGATAGCCAAATATGTTGATTTTTACAGTTTGAGACTAGAGCGCAACAACCTTCATAATAATCTGGAATTTTTTTAGGGCTGGTTATATTTCAGCCTGTGGAAAGCAGTGAGGTCCTCACAAGGTGAAGGGTCCCCACTTTGCATGTGAGATAAGCACATACTTTCAAGGAACGTCTGCAGGGCTAAAACTGGTTTTAAGATTCAGGTTGAAATAAGGTTTGTTTAAGGTTGGAAATGATGTGATGGCTTTTAGGAGCTTAGTACATGATTACTGCATTCATTTGGCAGACACATTTGTCCAAAGATATTACAATAAGTCTATACAACTGCAGTATAGGAAAATATATCACTTAAAAAACGGCCTTCGTTTAGTCGACCAAAATATAGAGGGATTCATCTTTACAATTTGAGCCTTAATTGCAAAACCTTTACAATAATCTGCAGCTGTTTTGCGGCTGGCATTATTTCAGCACCGTGGACAGCGCTGATGTCCGTACCAAGTGAATGGTCCCCACTTTGCATGTTAGATGAGCACATAGCTTCAAGGAACATCTGCAGGGCTACACACTGGCTTTAAGCGTGATGTCGATAATCATAATTGTACAAAATGAGTTATTAGTTCAGCTTCTAAACCAATAACATATACATTAAACAAGAGTGTGTGTAATATTAATCTTGATTCATGTTCAGATAACGATTTATGAGAAAGTTTGGTCAAAGTTGGGGTGTTAAGGGAGTCAGAGGATAGGCATGGGGAGACAGAAAGTGAGCGAAGGATTTGAAAGAGAGCGAACAGCTCATCTCAAGACTAATTTGACATCTATGGCTGTATCCTAAATATCAGAACATTTCGCCAAAGTTCAGGCATCTCTTGCGTTGACCTTTTCTCTAGTTGGAGGCCTAGCACCTCAATACCCGATTGAACCACAGGCCTGACTTATGTTACTTAAAGGATAACCTAGAGGTCCATCTTCTCAACACCTTTACAGTCAAATGTTCTATAAATTGCAGCGGTTGATGGTGAACTTCAAAAGCTCTGCCTCTTTTTAAGTATGCTTTATTCTTGTTAAGTTTGAAACTACTCCCAACAACAACAACAACAACTGCACTTTATTCCTTTTTAATATGCACATTTCTCAGTGCAATTAGGCTTTTTTTGTATTATTAAAGGAAACCTATCATGCTATATTTAAATGATATATTGTAGGGCCATACCTATATAAGGTATATTTATACGTTTCTGTTTTCAAAATACCAAACAGATCATGCATTTTAGCCATGCCTCATTTCGCTCTATGTGCTGTTTGCTGTCTACGGGGCTGATTCTGCTGACCACGCCCCCCCTGCAGGAGAGGGGAGACGTGCTCTGATCAGCTGCTGGGCTGTCAGAAGAGGGGGAGAAAAAGAGATCTCCGTGTTTTATTATATAGAGTCGTTATTCATTTGTTTTAAAGCTCAATAAATAACAAAGAAGACCTTTGTCCGGCACTTTTCTAATTTTGTCCGGAAGATTTAAACTTTAACGGACATCTTGACCGGCGAAAGAAACTGAAACTGAAACTGCCGCACGGTCCCCTCGTTCCTTGGAAGAGGCGGAGAGGTGGGTGTTTGTCATCTGCTGGTGGACTGACCGGAGAGAATTACAGTGCTTGCCTCGACGGGGAGGGATTGCATTGCAGCGGGAGCAAACGCTTGCCTCGGGAGGGAGAAAGAAAGCCACAGCGGAGAATAAACAGAAGGGTAACCATGGTAACCAAGTCTTCTTCGCTGCTTTTGTGGCAGACTACAGGCCTGGCATATGTACTACAGCGTCTCCAGCGCTTTCGAACGGCAATGTCCGTGGCTGTCTCCTCCTGATTGGTGGAGTTGGCCCAATAGCCGTAGCGCCACCGTCCTGACGTCAGGACAGTGTTCAAATCTGGATCAGTTTTTATCAGATCCGTTGCAGCCCCTTTTTTAGAGATTTGGGTATGGAGGAAAATAGAGAGGGTTGTGTTTTCTGACACTTGGTGGGGACACATATTCATGTATAAAAGACGTACAAAAGTGCATTTTGCATGATAGGTCCCCTTTAAGTGACTCTCTAATTGGAAAATAATTTGGTTTCATTGAAAAATGACATGCTTCTCTGAGATGAAGGAACTTCTATAACCATTGAATTGAAAAACAAGCTAAAAAACAAGGCGGATTTTCATGTGGCCTCAAAAGCCTGACCTTTTAAAAAATTCAAGGTTTGCACCGAGCAATGATTACATGTCTATGGAAAACTAGATAGAGGGAAGTAAGCACATTTATTACATCCAGAATATGACATTTCAGTTGTATCTGTGTGACGCTTTTGCAGTTAAGAAAGACATGGAGAAAGAAGCTGATGAAGAAGACAGTACATCCTGTTCCTCCTTTGTGCTTTTGGCTCTTTAGAGAACTGGGACAGCATAGGCGGGGGAGGGGTTTAGCTAAGGTGGGACTTTGAAGGCTCCTTGTGATGTTTTCTTGAGAAAAAAAACCGTGTGTGCATGTTTACATTCAATGTTGCTTCCCTAAATGCAGTGGTGTTTGGACTATTGTGGTTATGCCTTGAGGCCTGACGGATATATTATATTAGTTCGTCATTAAAACCCAGATTGTTTACATAGTATCTTTGTTAGATTGGCAAAGATGTGTTTTAAAGTTATCAAATATGCAAGATAGGTGCAACTTATTCCTACTAAAACCTCAATAATTCAGTATAGCAATCAGCCATTTTTGTTTTTACTTTCTTTGACCTTAACGTAGTTCCGTCTAACAGGAGATTAACTATTTAACTGTGTCAAATGTATGTTGTAACTTATTCCAAAAGCCAAGCTATCTTTTGGAAACATTTCAAACCAACATTGTTTAAATAACCCAAATTAAGTAAGTCTGTTAGCTACCCTCAACATAACAAAAAAAATGTTTTTAATGGTTATATTTAATTTTAAAGTGTTCAACTATGGAAGAAAAATACACTATATACAGTATATCCACTAAATAGAAAACAAATACATACCTCAAACATTGTAACCCAACATTATTTTGGGGATACAGGCGGCAGTAAATCTAATATGTAAGTTGTTACCTACACCATCTGTCACATTGGCCCTTCTTGTACATTATTTACTTCCTTGTGAAGAACGAGTATCTTCAACTAGATTCCCACAAATCAGAGAGGCCACAGTTTCCATAGAAACTTAGTTGGTTGGCTAGCAACCCGTTATCAGTGATCACCATCCCCTCATCTTGCTCTGCTGTCAAACTGGATTTCTGTTTTATCTCAGGGATGAGAAGAAATCATTACAAATACCATGTGACCAACCATGACCGTTGAATCAGGTTTAGTGACTATTAGCTCATCTACTTGTATTAAGACATGCATCATTAGTCTGGAATTACATATTGATGTCATGGTGTATTTTTGTTAAAGATGAAAGGGAAAAATGAAAGCTTACTCAGATTTGATTCACTGTTATGTCTCTATTTTAATCTTCAGTTGTGTCACAAGCTTTAACAGGTACCTGGTTGGATTGCTTCAAAGCTTTTAAGCTCTTTAAAGTGAAAGTTCCTGAAATATAAATGTACTTCTGGAACAAAGCTAGGAAAAAAAGCTGGTAGCCCATTAAGAGGCTTGTAACTTTGATGTGTTATTAACCTTTTTTTGGTAGAACTCATGTCTTTAAAATTTGTTTTAGTACATATTATGCATGAATCACATGCTTTTGGAATCGTAGGAATATGAATGCTGGCAGAGTTGCCGTATATACACAGTAAGTGAGTCTGGGTGAATCAGAAATGCCTCATGTGTCAGACTGCTGGGGGAGTCCTGAGAGTAATTCATGCATCTGTTGATGGTATTTGCCCGCATGATTATTTCAGTGATATATATGCTCCCACCGAATGCCCTTTTCCTCCAACACCAAGGCAAGGTGTCAGTAAAGGCTCCATGTTTAATTTAAAAGCACAAAGGGCAGTATCATCCGATCGAGTGTTTTGGTAAACCGGACCAGTTTGAATACAGAATTCCTCGAGTTGGTTCAGATTCTGACGGCAGGATAAATGTTGATTAAAATGGCTCTTTGCCATCACAGCTTCTAGACTTTCACTCGACCTGCTTGAGGAGCTTAGGCCGGCTAAATCTGGATCATCTTTTTAAACAACCTCCTCTAAGTCAATTTGGGTTTAATGGATTGACCTTTTGTTATTGTGTTTAACCTTTTCTTTATGAATCTTTCACTATTGAATCTCTTTTTATCTTTAGCTGTTGATTTGATTACATTTCAATCATCTGGAAATTGCTTTTCAAACTCTGAACAAATGCTGTATGTGTTATTTTTCCTTTTATTTGTCATTCCCTACTATTTATTATTACCAAATGATAAAAGCAGTAGTGTTGTGTTCTGAATCTGAATTAGGTGTTGTTGTTTGTCTTGATTTTACAAGAGTTCAGTTCATTTATATTAATGTAACTTTGTAACTTCAGGGCACATTTTCATTTCACAACCACAAAACAAACATTTTAACAATTCAATCAACACAATACTCAAAGCACTTGCCTGCCTTTCTCTAATACACTTTGTTTTGATCCACAGAGCCCTCCAGGTTCCACTTCAACAAACCTGAGAACTACATCAGCATGTACCACCAGGAAGGAAGCGACACGGTGTACGTTGGCGGCCAGGCGATGGTCTATGTGTTGACGTTCACTAACAGAGGGGTCCGCGACGTGCAGGTACTCCACGTCTAGCTGACTTTTGCTGTCTTCACACTCTAATATTCGGGGGCATTTATCTCTCAGCTCCTGACAGTCTTTTGTAATGGAGAACCACTCTGCTGCCACATTTACAAAATAAATTACCAACCACAATATGAAATACTAACTACTGTCTGTACTGTAAGTAGGTCCACTTGGCCTAAATCTTGGCAAAATACGGTTTGTGTCCAAATTGTGCCGAAGTCCCTTTCCCATTTGACAAAATACCCATCAAAACCCCCTGACATCTGGCTTTTGTCCTTAAAGGGAAAGGTTATATAACATTTACATCATTTTACATCAGGTATATATCTGCTCCAGCTCCGATCAACAGTGATGCAAACATGACAACCAGGTGGATATGTAATACTAAGGCTCATATAAATATATAATAGATAGCTCAGCTCAGCTCCTGACAGCCTTTTGTAATGGAGAACCACTCTGCTGCCACATTTCAAAAGATAAATGGCCAACCACAATACGAAATACTAACCACCGTCTCTACCTAAGTCCACTTTGGCAACCAACCGATGTTTGGAATTACATTTCATACATAAATCTATATATAAAAGCTAGCACCTGAAATAGTTAGCCGGGACCTAAATATTGAATCACAGTTTAAGGCCTGCATACCCTGTGTAAACCTACATGTGTCTTTGTCGATAAATCTACAAAAGTACAGACATTGTTGAAGCACATAACCCACTCTAACTAAATCTAACTTTTAAAATACGGTTTGTGTCCATATTGTGCCAAAGCCCCTATCCCATTTGACAAAATACACATCGAAACCCACTGACATCTGGCTTTTGTCATAAATGGGGCAAACCACTTAAATCAGTCCACTTCAAAACCACTTTGTCCAATAACCAATTGGTGTTCATATATACATCTTAAGCTAGTAGCTAAAATAGTTAGCAAGGTCCTAAAGGTTGAGCCACAGTTAAAGTCCTTGCATACCCGTTGTACTCCTACATGTGTTTTCACTTCTATTGCCTGATGAAACTTCCTCTCTGAACTGTATGGGCCTGTGCACAGTGGTGATTGGTCTATAAGACATTGTCAGAACAAATAACCACCTCTAACTAAATGTTACTTTATACATTTCAGTTTGTCTAAAAAGTATGTAAAAGGTTCCCTTTCCCTCTCAAAGAACCCCCACCAACACCTATAGTTGGAAAGGTTACAATCAGCATTAAAAGTGAATACACCTGCAGTAATCAAAGGTATTGATCGTCTCCAGCTGTGATAAACAGTGATGGAAACCTGACACCTGTGTGGAAATACAATGGTATGGCAAACATGAATATATCTTAAATAATTTAGACTTATATTAAAATGTATTCCTTTTTTTAAACGTCACCAGACAGAAATGTATCATCGTCTAAAACACACTTTATTCAAACTTGAAAAACAAATATATGTTAGTCTTTCCACTGTTCCAAAAATAACCTACTATGGTTTGAGAGATGGCAAAATGTGACTGAATAACAAGAAATGCTTTGACTGTTTTGAACATTTCGAAGGATCCTTGGGCAAGATACCTTAACCCAAATTGCTCCCAAAGGCATGGCTGACGTATATAAGAGCTTTGAGGGGTTGAAAAGACTGGGAAAGTTCTAAATAAATGCAGTCTATTAACAGTTTAATATGAATTGACTGATTTATAATTGGAAAGGAGACTATCGCAGGTTTCTCTGTGTTTAAAAAACCTAATTTGGTGTTGATAAAATAGGTTTCTTTTTTAACTTCAGATAAAGATGGCCAGCTGTTTTCCCCCTGCCTCTAGGGTTAGGGTTAGGGTTATGTTACTGTTTTCCGGACTCTACCAGAGGATAACAAACAAAGTTGCCCTCCTGATGTGAGGTTAGAGAGGGCAGAGAGAGAGATGATACGACTGACCGACCACTGAGCAGTTCAGCCGCGGAGGACAGAGGGAGTTGGGTCATGCATACATTGATGAAGCTACAGATATATCTCTCTGTGAGAAAAGCAAACACTCATTGGGTTATTAATGTCAACATGGCTCAAGATAACACACCGTGTGGGCTTCAGTGTCAGCAGTGACAAGCTTGACAAATTGAAACGACTGTAAGCTTGTCTCGATGTCTCATTCAAATATGACTAAGCTTTGCATTTTCGGAACGATTGCTGGCTTAGTGTTGGGTTTTCCTCAGTGGAGAGGAAAAGACGAGTGAGTAAACAACTGCTGGGGATGAGTTGTCATTGATGTTTGATGGTGTCATTCTCTCACTCACACTTTAGTGAGATTCTGTCACAACTTATTTCCAGTGAAGGTTAGTTCAGCGGAGCGTAACAGAAGAATAATTAAAATTCTTAAAACATCAGACACAGATAAAGATAGACTGAGGGCTTCTTTAGTGAAACCAACAATTCTAGTGGGAGACATTTTAGTTAGTTTGACTGAGGAGCACAGCACTTTTCAGATTTCCCAAAAGATAAGTTAATTCTGAATCATTAAGACGAGATACTATAAACCTTCATTCATGCCCAAATGTAAATTGTGTTAAGGCAGACACAGAATAAGAATGAAATGAGGACGGTACAGATAAGAGTTCTCACAATGATAATAATGATACAAATATTAATGTGTTACCGTATGAACAAGATCATTTACGGCAAATTGTACACATATGAGAAGGTATATACATATAAATATGTGCAGGTGCAAGTGTGAGTAAGTGCAGGTAGTTCCGACATAACTCTTGATTGGATTATCTGTGATGCTTTTTGTTAAACTGCTCGTCACTGTTTTTGACATATACTGTATGTACTGGGCGCATCACGTTCACAGTTCTCCTTTTGGTGGTAGTTATATGTTTTTGTGTTTTTGTCTGTAAAGGCTAGAATCCTAACGTTCCCTCCAGCGGGAGTTTCTGCCTGAAACGCCTCCATCGGACGATACTGTAGTGACATCATTATGTAACACTCACGCTTCTATTGGCTAGCGCTCCAACATGTTATACTTCATAGGATAAGGGGCGGGATATCTCTAAGGGGTTGACCAATCACAACAGAGCCGGCCAGCAAACCAATCAGAGCAGACTGGGCTCTGGTTTCAGACAGAGGGTGAAAAGAGTAGTTTTGAGAAAAATAAAGAGCCTTTTGAACATTAAAGCATGGAGACATGTCACAGTAGAGACACTACATACTGATATACACCTGAACATCAGCAGGAGAGGACTCTTTAAAGTAGAGACACTACATACTGATATACACCTGAACATCAGCAGGAGAGGACTCTTTAAAGTAGAGACACTACATACTGATATACACCTGAACATCAGCAGGAGAGGACTCTTTAAAGTAGAGACACTACATACTGATATACACCTGAACATCAGCAGGAGAGGACCCTTTAAAGTAGAGACACTACATACTGATATACACCTGAACATCAGCAGGAGAGGACTCTTTAAAGTAGAGACACTACATACTGATATACACCTGAACATCAGCAGGAGAGGACTCTTTAAAGTAGAGACACTACATACTGATATACACCTGAACATCAGCAGGAGAGGACTCTTTAAAGTAGAGACACTACATACTGATATACACCTGAACATCAGCAGGAGAGGACTCTTTAAAGTAGAGACACTACATACTGATATGAACCTGAAAAGGAGCATATGTAAAGCACAGGAGGTCAGGTTGGAGAAAAATATACAACAAAGACACAAATGCATGTATTTAACTTTTATCTATCTACGACAGCAGCTTTTCACTGTGAATATTGTGTTGTAGCAGTTGCAGTAAGGTCGCAGTGTTCTTGCTGAAACAAGGCAGTGTGAAAGAACTTGGCACGAACTAAACATCCCTTCCTCCCACAGATCCCAGCGGCATCTGACCAGACTGCAATTGATACCTGCAAGGCAAAGGCTGCACCACTCGAGGTAGCAACTCATCCTCACAGTCAGCACCTCCATCCCTCCTGCAAAGCACTCTCCTCATCATCATCATCATCATCATCATCATCATCATCTTCATCATCCCCATCGTCATCATCATCATCTGCAGTCGCACATCAGTGAGGTTTGATTACCCAAGTTTAATTCAGCTATTAAGATTCATGATCTTTTTGTTGTTGCTAGGATATATAAAAGAGAAAATAATTCCAACAAGCAGATGCAATAAAGACAAATGTATAAATAATGTTAATTTATACAGACGGGATCACATTACACCGGAGACAGCTTCACCTCAAAACAAACAAACAGATGAGTGAGCTGTTGATAATTGCAGTGCATCATTTAAAGAGGTTCCATAGAGACTGAGCAAATATCGAGAGATTTATACAATATTCAACCTGAAATATGTCTAATAGCGTGGGGAAGCTACTCCTAATGTGAAATGCTCCGAGGGTTAGTAATAATCTTAAGAGGCCTTGGTACAATGCTGACTGATTTGCTGCTTGTAATAAGACACAAAGAAATGTGAAAAATGCCTGGCAAGAAAAGCAGATGTCTTAGTATTTAAAGATTCTTGAAGACCAAGATCATTTTCAATAATGAATAATCTCCACACTAATTTTCATGATTGCAATTACAGGAAAATTGACATGATCAAGTTCCATTTATTCTCAAGGCAAACATTCTGCATTTGCTCAATAGATACAAAGATAATTAATGTTCCAGTCCCTACTTAGCCTAATGTATTACTTTAGATGGGATACATCTGATATGATTACATTCTCTGTCATTATGTTAAAGCTCAAAGGCAAATGACTCTTTCAGCGTTTTCATAGCCAAGAGGGTCGTGCACCTGCAAGGGATTGGTGATTAATAATATGCACAGAACTAAATGCCTGTATGCTGCTTTTTTAGAATGATTGAAGACAGAACAAAAGCAGGGTGTAGCTTCGAGTCAATTGTTTCCATGATGGTCACAGTCAACACGCAGTATCATTGATCGGCCCAAAAAACAAGTAGACAACTTATTTGTTTGTTTATTTATCTGTTTATTTATTTGTTGTTTTATGTTTTTGTTTTGTTCTTTAATTTTTCAATTACAAATGTATTTCTTTAAGAAAAAAAAAATATACATACATGTTAGTAATTTGGTTTTTGGGAGAAGGGGTGGGATTAAATAAGTGTAAACTTCTTCCCACCCCTTTTCGGATGTGTAGAATTAGTAATATTTTTGTATATCAATTTGACATTGATATATATGACATCATTTTGTATTGTATCATAATTCTCATGTTCAATTATTGTATTATTGTTTTACACATTCGAAATAAATCTAATCAAATCAAATCAAAACATTATATACACCCAAAATACACAAACAATCCTTATCTTTGTGTCAACAGGAAATAGTTATACATTCATATATCTTTCCTGCGAAACCCTGGATTAGTTTAGAAGTATGTTTAGGTCCATTCCAACATGTTTAAGGTTAGAGAAAGATTTAGGGTTTACGAACCTGCACACCAACCCCGACTCAGTTTCCTTACTCGCTGCCTCGCTCTGTGAAGGGCACACTGCTTCCTGCACCAGTGCTTCATGTTGGACATAAATCAGGGGGTGCGAAGTCATTACATATTCATGTTTTTCCTCGGGACACTTGGCTGATATTCCAATGAACATGTTTGTTGTCAGTGCTGAGAGCCATTTACCAAGCAGTACAGTACAACTACAAAACATGAAGCATTAATACATTTTGGGACCAGCTTTATAAAACATTGGTTTGAAGGTTCATATTAGTCCCAGTGAGATAAGTCTGCAACAGCTTAATCGCCCGCATAACATGGATCCTTGTCATGCTTTTTATAGGTTATTGTGCATGCAAATGGTCTGCGAAGGATAAAATCCCAAAGTTCCTAACAGAGGGAGTTTCTCTCCCAACACAGTGTGCGCAGTTTGAGAAAAATAAAGAGCTTTTTGAACATTAAACATGTTCTATAACAAATCATAGTACTTACATCCTACATTTGTGCATTGGACAAGTACGAACCTTTTGCAAACATGCCCAAACTCTATTTTTACATAAGAACAGAAAGAAAAAAGTGTAAATTACACAGCTCACCCACTCGCCTACACACCCACCTACACACACTTACACAAGCTCTGGCCCTGCTTTTTGGACTTCAAGATGTCCGTCCTCCATCTTGTTTACTTATCCACGTTTTTATCAGAATGTGTGTTTTTTCTTTTTTTGTTAAAAGACAAACTACAACAAACATGGCTCAACATGAGAGCCAATGCAAATTTGAATTCACCCCTTAAGGTTTTATTCAGTATTCATTTTCGTCCTCCATCCACTAATACCGTAGAGAAAGCAGTCCATGTCTTTCCGATAATGAAGAAGTGATGCATATGGAGTGTAGCAGTGCTGTACTGCAGGGCTAAGCCTCCTGTGTGCTGTCTGCCAAAATTGTTCAGAGCATGGATCACCTCCAATTTCCCTTAAATCTCTCCCTCTCTGAGCAATCCGCTTTTGCCCTCGTAATCTGTTTTGTGTTGCAGTCTGTCTTTGATTCCCTATGCCTCTATTCCACCTCCGTCTCTTGTTGTTGTTTTATCAGTCTTGTTTTCTCTCGGCCCTTGTCTCCAATCACTCTTCCACATGTTCTCTTTTGCCTCTCTGCATCTTTTCCCCCCCGTCACAATCTGTGTAATTGTCTCCCTTTTCACTTTTGGTTTTGCCTCATGTTCTGCCTTTGTCCCTCTCTATTACTGACTCTTTCTCTCACAGCTGGAGTGTGATAATTTCATCACCGTCATTCAGAAAGTAAACGACACAATGATTATATGTGGAACAAATGCTGGGAGCCCCAGGTGCTGGATGCTGGTAAGTGTTTCTCTCAGACAAATTCTTTTGAAATGCTAGGGGAGTACAGTATGTTATTTTGCAGCCACTATTACACTTTGTATTGGTTGCTACTGCGGCTCCTTAAAGAGAGTCTCAAGATCGATTGTAATTAGCATTCACTCATTTGCTCCATTACTTCTTCGGTTGGTTAGATGAAGGCCGGGACTTTCTTATTGCCTATAGGAGGATGTTTTCTCTTAGTAATGAGAATGAAAGTGTCTGGCCATGGCATAGCAAAGTGTAAAATGTAGACTCAGACGACTCTATTTATCTCAAGAAGTGCAAGACTTTTTCAGCCCAGTCCATGCACTGCATACTAGGGCTGGGAATCACCAGGCTCCCCACGATACGATACTATCGCGATACTTAAGCCACGATACGATAGTATTGCGATTCTACGATATGCTAAGTATTGCGATACGATATATTGCAAATCACATCTATGTCTGTCTTCCCTTCCTGGTTAAAAAATGTATTTGCAATATGAATAGTTTATGTAAATAACACAATGTGTGTTATTTTAACCTGAAAAGGAGATGGCATTGTTTTTGTTACTTTCATTGAAATGATATACATGTCTTAACGTAACTTCCTGTTTTATATACGACCATCTTTCGGAGGGATATGCTACATTTTATATTAAAAAAAAAAGTATATAATAAAATATTGATACTTGGCATCCGTGTATCGATACAATATCTCCACGCAAAGTATCGCGATACTATTCTGTATCGATTATTTCCCCCACCCCTACTGCATACATAATGCATGACTTGAATGAACAGGGGTTACAATGCTAGACTTCCTCCAGGCAGAAACAGCTCTTCCCTCTCCGATAGGTCAATGAGACGGTGCTGACCGACGTCCAGGGGAATGGGCAGATAGCGTCGGCCTCTGACATCTCACCGCCCTACCCTTCCCAGAAGTCCATCAGCTTTCCTGCAGGTAACAAACTCAGAAAGGAAAATACGGCTCTGCTCGCAGGAGTCAAGTTAGAAAATAAACGTGATGGAGGCAGCAACAAACAATGTCTTAAAGATACACAATTGCCTTCGAAAAAACCCCACATTTTACCTTAAAAGTGTGTAAAACGGCATTAGATTAAAAACAGAATTTGGCTTGTTTATATTCGGACCAACCGTATTTGGATACCAAAACTGTGTGGAGCTCAGTTTCTGTAAGAAAAGCCTCTGTGGTTAAATACATTCAATGTGTTAAAAGATAAAAGTTAGAAGTAATGAATTCTTCAGTCATTTTTCCTCAGTGTCTCGGTTAGTAAGTCTCACCTTTTCTCATCCAAGAAAGGTGTCACTTTCTTAAATATCTTATTTTGTATCAAAGCTGCGTTTATATTAACTTTGCTCATTTGAGTGTGGAGCAACCGAGTGAGACGTGAGAGTCCCAGCCTCCCTGGAGCGACCTGACTTCTTATTATCTCTCTATTCATAACATGGAAATTAATAGGTTGCTTTTATTTAAAGGAACCCACAGAACACTATTTTAACGAGCCCATCCTCTACAAGATTGGTGTGTTAACAAACCATGTATTTACTGGCCTAAAGCATATTTATTTTAATTTAAACAAGATTTAATTTGATCCTATTACTGAAAATAATGCTTCATGCTGATGGCTCAATTTCTAGGTTAATCTCTTGTGTTTTAAGTGTATATTGTTGGAGCTAGTAGAAATAAAGTGTGTATAACGTGTTTAAATATACTTCATCACACAAGGTAAGATTTAAACTCAGGTCACTCATGTGTAAGTTACAAACCCTTTATATGTCTGAGTAGCCTTTCAATCAATATGACAACGAATGGAGCCACAGTTAAACGAAGGTTATCGAGTGAGTGATTCAATTCACTTCACAGTTGAATCGAGATCCTTCGTCCATCACAGTTCGAGCCTTTTCTACCAACAATGAACCTGCATAAAAACAGAAAAAGTACTGTGTTAACAACTTTTGGGCAAATAAGATAAGATGAGATAACATAAGATTGACCTTTATTTATCCTCAAGTGAAAATTCTGCACGCACGCACGCACGCACACACACACACATTACAAATACACACATGCATATGACCTATACAGATATGGTCTGCATACAGATATGCACAAACGCATGCATGTACTGAGAGATGAAGAGCGAAGAGGCTGCAGGTTGTCAGGTGTCAGGGAGCAGTTTGGGGTTAGGGCACCTCAGCAGTGTACAGGTGAACCGGCACCTCTTCAAATACCAGTCCGTATGTTTGGTCCATTTGCGACTTGATCCAGCGACCCTTCACTTCCCCAGCCAAGTCCCTACGGACTGAGCGACTGCTGCCAAAATACAACTTTTAAGAGAACTGGACAAAGCAAGTCTAAACCTTAACTGCAAATGCATCAGTTTTATTGTATCAAACCCAAATGCCTCTCAAAGGGTTTTACAATCTTTACAGAAAACCAACCTCTATCCATCGACCCTTGATCTAGATATAAAACAACACCATCCCCCGAATTATCAACCCCAGTTTAAAAAGCTCTTAGATCAGGGGTGTCCAAACCTTTTTCACAAGGGCCACATACAGAAAAATATACGAAGGGCTGGGCCACTCACTAGAGGTATATTGCCTCATAAGTTCTGTTATAAGTTAGCAAAATCAATCAAATGTAGGTAAATGATGCTTGTGAGTGTTGGCAGCTCATCCCTTACAACAGAAGCCTCAGGTTGATTACAGGAGGCGTGTGGCGCAGTGGGTTGAGCGGCAAGACACTTCACCCCAAATTGCTCCTGTGGGGATTGCCCACAGTATTGAGTATGTAAGTCGCTTTGGATAAAAGCGTCTAACAAGTGACATGTAATGTAATGTAATGATTATAATATGGAGAAATAGGAAGGGTGTATTTCAAGCTTGTAAATAAGTCATTGGGCTTTTTTCTTATCAACTAAGATGTTAGAAAATGTTTCCAAGTTGAATTGACTGAATTTATTTGAAAAGTGGTCTCATTAACACATGAATACTACTGTGTGATATATGTTTACATTTGGAGTTAAGAAGTACAATATAAGACAAGCACACGTTTCATTTGTGGGCCATATTTCATTATACTTTTTGAATTTGTTGAGGGCCGCATTTGGCCCCCAAGCCGTCTTTTGGACACCCCTGTCTTAGAGGAAAAGAGAAAAGGGGAAACCTTAAAAAGAGTAATGAATTAATTCCTGTGCAACAGAAATATATCGTACATGTTATTCGTCAAAGTCCAACACCACCGGGGGATCACACCTCGCTGAGTGAAAAACATGCGACAGTCAGCCATCTGCTGTGGTGCCTTCACATGGAAACATTCACATTAAACATTGAGCTCTTATATAACTCACTGCACAAATAGATTTAGAAATAACTCACAAGATTTACAGAATCCTGGACGATAAAGAGTAAAGAATGATGGTAGGGTTGTTAAAAAGATTAACATGTTATCAGAATGTTCTTTAAAGTCCTAGTGGTTTTGATCAAGGTTAGGAGAGTCTTTTGATTGATTTGATTGTGTAGGATACATATCTTATACATATTTCTATTTTTATATTCGGGATTGTGGGAAACGGTATTTCGATCTCTCTGTCTGTGCACACAAGCTGAAAGATTGACAATAAAGTTGACTTTGACTTAAAATGGTATGTGCCATAAGTACTGCGTATATGTACGATATACTGTATGCCCTACACGTTTAGATTACTTTCCAATTGTGGTACAAACATTTGGCTAAATTTAGATATCCACAAACTACTGTCTGTTTCGGTTCTTTACAAGAGTTTCATTTTGTTCATTAGCACATGAAAGTTCTCCATATTCATGTGTTGGGACATTTTGTTCCCAACACAACAAATTGATACTCAATTTCATCACAAAGGAAACATATTTTTTCCCAGTTTTTATTCGTACATGCATCACATTGACGTTTGTAATCATAGTCCATCTTGCCAATTTGTTTTATTCCCTTAAATTCATCAAGTAGTTTTGTTTGGACTCACAATATTTACCCGTTTTATTGTATGGGAAGTTGAACATCATGTTTAGGTTTGAAGTTATACTTCAGTGCCAGGTTCAAACCGTTGAGTTTTTGTTCAAATGAAAGATCTTCTAGCAAATATATTATGCTTTACAAATCCAGCTAAATTGGATTAAAGTGGACCTATCATGCTATATTTGAATAATATAGTGTAGGACCATACCTATTTAAGGCATATTTATACTTTTTTTTTTTCAAAATACCAAACAGATCATGCATTTTAGCCATGCCTCATTTTGCTCAATTTGACAATTTCTAGCTCTGGGCAGATTCAGTGAGAACAGCACCATCTACTGGCCTGGCATATGTACTACAGCATCTCCAGCGCTTTCGAACGGCAATGGCCGTGGCTGTCTCCTCCTGATTGGTGGAGTTGGCCCAATAGCCGTAGCGCCACTGTCCTGACGTCAGGACAGTGTTCAAATCTGGATCAGTTTTTATCAGATCCGTTGCAGCCCCTTTTTTAGAGATTTGGGTATGGAGGAAAATAGAGAGGGTTGTGTTTTCTGACACTTGGTGAGTTCCCTGGAACACCGGGGACACATATTCATGTAGAAAAGACGTACAAAAGTGCATTTAGTATGATAGGTCCCCTTTAACCTGTTTCACGCCTTCCCCCCGGTACCGGGCGGATAAACGCGTCATTTGCAGGAAACAACGTCTAAGGAATCTTAATATTGAATAAAACTATGAATGTGTTATATCCATGTAACGGGAAGAAACTCAGCTAACTGATCTTTTTAATTTTTTTTTTCAAAAAAAACCCACAATGCTAGCACTCAGCCTCTGAATTAGCCTCGATCGAAAAAAACGGGACCGACAAACGCACATAAACTCACTCAGAACTCCCTTATTACTTATCCTAGATGCACAACCAAACACTATTTTTTGGTGTCCTGGAGACACTGAATCTAACGGTGCCCACCTCAACACTCAGTGATAAACATTCGCGACGCTATCAACGAAAGTGTACATCATCACATGTGGAGCCAAGAAGCTAAACATATAAATATGGCTTACCTTGGTCAAAAGTGGTCTTCAATGGCATTAAAACGATAAAAAAACGATGCTGCAGTTAATCCATAGGTTCATCCTATGTGTCTGTGCCTTCTTTGAAATTATTTCTGATAATCCATAAGCAATACAACTGCGTTTTAGTTTCCAAACTCCAGAAGGAGACATTCCTCCAGTTTAGTTTCGCTTTCCACACGGAAGCGGCAACATTTTTTCTTTACAATGTATGTGTATGTGAGTATCCTCCTTCGATTCTATTGGCTCTAACGGTCACAAGGGTATGTCAACCAACCAGATCGAGCAAGGGGGGCCAGAGATAGGTCAAATCCACCCAAATGACCCCAGATGGCCCAGTTTTTGGCTAAATCTCTCTATAAAGGTCAAATTTCACTTGTTTTGCATCAATCTTGATACAGGGTACTTATTATATGTTGTACTTTGGATTCCTAAAGCTTTTAGTCTACTAACCCATCATCCAAGGGTAGTTTTCACTATCTGTAAAAAATAATTTTTGGACGGACACTATAATTTACAGTTTTTTACTATGTAAAATCTGAATTTTCTTTAAAATAAAAAACATTTATATTGATTCTGACACTTCTACATCCAACTCACAGGTTTATCATTACTTTGAGAAAAGATTATTAATTTAACCCTTTTAGAAGGGAAGATATGGTCATTTGTTCTGGGAATGTCATTTTCGAGCCTGAGACCTGAAAAACAGGCTCAGAGTGGAACAGGTTAAATAAAAAAGACAATTGTAATGGGTGAAAATCGTCTACGAGGATCCCAAATGCCTTTGTTTGCTTGCACCTCTCCACAGGGAACTTGTGATTATCCAGCTGTGCAGAATCACATTAACTAAATAGAGATGTTAGGAGTTAAAAACATCCTTTCCACATTGGTCAAAGCTCATTATTAGCGACGGACAAATTGTTTCTTTGTTAACCCATCTAATGCAGATGGACTGTCTGTGGAGACATTCAGAAATTAGTGAGAGGTTAGTATGCGCTGCAGGACGCTCTTCAAAATCGATTTCCGAAGCAACGATCCGATCCGCGTCTCGAGTTGCGAAGCGTTCTAACAACGATAAGTCCTAATTAAGATGTTACTGCTACCATCTCAAATGCTAATTTCTATGGAGACCTAAGAGCTCTAAGTGGGGTTTGAAGAATGGCGCTCGTGAGCTTTTCTGCCTTGATGTCTTTTTTACTCTCCTTCTTGAGTCTAAGTCCTCCCCTCCCCCCCTTTGTCTGTCTTCACTCTCTGTTTAATGTTCTCTCTCTGTATCCTCTCTCCTCCAGCTTCACTCAACCCCCCTCCTGTGTCACTTCAATCTCTCATCCTCTCCCTCTGAACTGTGTACCCTTTTCTTTTTTTAAATCAACACTCTCTTCTTCCTCTCTCCTCTCTCCTCTCTCAGATGGGAGTCTGTATTCGGCAATGTCATCTGTGGCAGGTCACCCCGGCTCCATTCGACGTACCTTTGGCTCCCAGAAGCTCCTGAAGACGGAGAACATTTGGCTGCTGAGTGAGTAGGAGGAGGAGGAGGAGGAGGAGGCGGAGGAGGAGGAGGAGGAGGAGGAGGAGGAGGAGGAGGAGGAGGAGGAGGAGGAAGAGGAGAGTCACGCACACAACATATAGACTGATGAATATGGAGAAGGTGTATGCCAAGCTGATTTTGCTTTTATTGATTTCTGGAGGATATCAAAAAATCTATTCTTCCTAGTAAGAATGCAAATTCATGATATAAAAAATGCAATTCTTACTCGTAATAATGTTTATTTCTGATATCAAAAAATGAATTTTAACTAGTTAGAATGCAAATGCTTGATATCAGGAATTCAATTGTTACTAGTTATAATTCAATTTTTATTTATAACTAGTTCAAATTGTATTTCTGATATCAAGAATTGGCATTTCGACTAGAGAAATTGAATTCTTGATATCAGAAATTGGTATTTGTACTAGTTAAAATGTAATTGTAACTAGTAATAATTGAATTACTGATAATCAGAAATTGGAATTTGAACTATTCCAACTCCCATTGAAATGAATGAGAAAAACGATGCAAATCTCACTAGTTAAAATCGCATTGCTGATATCAGAAATACACATTACTTCTAGTTACAATTCAATTTCTGATATCAAGAATTTTACTTCTAACTAGTTAAAATTCTATTTTTTATATCAGAAATAAACATTCTAACTAGTAACAATAGATTTTTTAATATCCTCCAGAAGAGAATAAAAGCTAAATCGGCTTGCCATAAAGGTGGGTGTAGATATCCCACTTTGATTCCCAGGGGGAAAATACCATGTAGGTTTATTTACTCTTATTTTTCCAGGTCATGTTCTTCACAGCAGTTTAATGTGAACCAGAAACAAGTCCACTGAGAGAAGCCATTTTGGCGCAAAAAGGTTATGCAATAATGTGGAAAAAAAGATTGCTAGACTCAGGGAGATCTTCAAGATAAAGTGGAGCAAAGTGCCGATATCTTAATGGACAATTTGAAATCTCATCACCAGATCCACAGTTTGCGGGGGCAGCCGTTATCCCGTCCACAGTGAAGTACAAGGAGGAGATCTACTTCTTCTTCAGTGAGCTCAACAAGACAGCCCGAGTGGACGAGGAGCCGTACAGGGCCCGCATTGGACGCATCTGCACGGTAAAAATCAACAATTTTTTGACATTTGTAGACAAAGAACTAGTTCAATAAGTAAATACATAAATACAATACCTGTTAGTTAGCAGATGTCTTGGGTAGTCATGTCTTTCTTAGCAAAAAATGAAGTCACTTTTCTTCTGTGTGTTGTAATCTTTTCATGTATCCAACTGGCTAGCTAATGGCCCCATCATGACAGCCATCCAATTGTGATACTTCCATTAGTAGACTCCCATGCAGGACACTTTGTAAACTATTTACTTATTTGTGGGAATGAGTTTTACTAGGGTATAGTGTTTCCTTAAAATTGCACACTTGTTTGCGCTCACTGGGTATACAACCAATGCTGTAAGCTAGCTTGCAAGCTAGTTAGCAGAGTTGTCTTTTGGGGTACCAAATCAATACAGGCTAAATAAAGACAATAAACATTCAACACTCAACTTTTTGAGCAACATGAGTGAAGAAACAGAACTGCACTTTGCCAGCCTTAGGGTTAGGATGAGTGTGAACACAGTTATAAACTCAAAACAGAAAGTGAAAGTACAGAAGGTTGTGCATTGAGACACACCACTATAAATGCTCTTAATTAGATATAAAGAACTTTTTACTGAGATCATTTCTTGTTGTATCTCTATGCATTGATCCATTCATATTTAGCCTTTACAAGTTGCTGCTTGGCAGATTTACATTTGATTGAGCTACACTGCACACATCAGTGTACTGAATCTCAAAGATAAGACACGCAACATTTGTATTTCCCCTTAAATGTCAGAGTACTCCTATGAGAGAGAGTAACTGGTGTTGTGGGTGAGGGGTCAGAGTCACATCCTTGCGGGGGACTCAAAGTATAATTCTAAATCAATTTGGCAACCCGGCTGCCATATTATGACTTTGTTGTCACAATCCTTTCATGTTTGTTTCCAGGTGGATGAAGGGGGCATCAAAGCGCTGCTGGAGAACTCCTGGACCACCTTCATGAAGGCCCGGATGATGTGTGGCGCAGGAAAAACCCACCAGCAGTACAACAACCTGAAGCAGGCGGTGGTTCTGACGGCGCAGGACAAGAGGGCGGGGGTCCTGTACGGCCTGTTCTCCAACGCATGGTGAGCAGGAACCTACACACACATCGACTGCTCACACCGTTGTCGTGGATTCGATGTAACACTCACAACATTCAAGAATAAGACAACACAGACACAGAGATGGTTGAAGTCAAATATGGGTAACACTTTATATTAAGGTACACATATTCACCATCAAATAGTTGTTAAGTAACATGCATATTAGCAGTATATTGGCTCTTTATTAGTCATTACAAAACACTTATTAATGCCTTATTCTACATGACCATATTCTACAATAATAGGCCATTAATTGAGAGTTTTTCCTCAATAACCCTCTAATTAGTGCTTATTTATTGCAAGTAAGGACGTTGTTGTACATTAGTTTTGGTCTTAATATGCGCTGCTCAATATGGGCCTAATAAGGCAGCAGTACCACAAGAATAGTAATTCTCCCATAATAACACTAATATGATCTATTCTTATGTAACAATAAATTAAACTAAGTGTTAATTGTGTCAAAATAACGAAGAAATTGGTATTTCTAACTCAGAATATGTTCCCTATTTTAAAGTGAAGTTTTGTTTATAACAAATACGCTAGTAGTTTGAAGAACACCAAAGTGGTGGTGGTGAATTAATTTAAGTTTTCCGCACTCTCACGGGAATATCTCCGCAATGGAGCGAGCTTACGTTTCACTTTCAATTGCATGAAATAGCCCAGCGCAACACCTTCGTCAAACATGTTGCCTCTTGTTTGTACCATTTTCAGGCGATTTGTAATCTGTTCTAGAAAAATGATGTGTTTTTTAGGATTTCAAGAAGCATATAGAACAAACAATGGATGTATGTTATGAACATGTATCCATGCTGGAAGTAGATGTAGATGTATTAGGAGTTAGATAGAGATTACTATCTGATATATGCATCCGATGAAGCATTGCATGAAGTCTGTTGATGATCAGAGGCTGTTGTTGGGTCTGCATAAACGTTTTTTTATTTTTGTTTTGTTGGCAGACCATGCAGGCCTCAGAGAGTTAAACTTGGGCCTGCGATACTACTATATTTTGTTTTGAAAATCCACAGCGGAGGTTTGTGTCGTACTATGCGGTGTATTTTGGATTTCTCTCAGTAGCCAACGATCTGTGAGTCTGTTGGCTCGGACATAAACTCCGTAATAAATGTAGTGTACATTTCATAAGAGGTGTTTACTTTTTTACATTTTAAAACTTTGGGAACCCCTGCTATAAGAGACACATTACCTTGCAACAAAGCAATCAATAGCGTAATGTCCCTAGAGTCTAAGGGAATCTCAGATGCGTAGCTGAACTCCTACTGACCTCTGTCCCCTCGGTCTTTAAATAGTTCTAGTTTCCATGACCCTTTTCTGCTGACACCACACATGCCAATGGAGACAACTATTGGCCACAGAAATAGGTATGCCTCCTTTTGGAAACTAAATGGATAACCCACTAGTATGGCTTGAAACACATGATTATATAAAACAGATTATACACAGTCTATACAGCTTAACGGAAATGACCCTGTAAATGGTGTGATGTTATGCTTATGTAAATTAAAGAATGCACAAAGAAGCTTCGTCGTGATGCATGAAGCTGTAATTACGGGTCTCCGGAGACAAGTATGAACATCTTGGTGAAACAAAACAGAGAATGGTGTTTTGGGTAACCATAGGTTGTACAGGCTAGCAGAGGATTTGAAGTGTTGATTGCTTAATTTGTACTTCTTTATGGAGACAGGTTCCAAATGGAGATGAAAACAAAGAAAGACAAGAGAGGTTATTAAGGAATAGCCATGCGAGCAACCCGTATACAAGTGAAAGCTCTTACATGCAGCCTCGAGAAGAAAAACTACTGCTTAATATGTTTGTTTGAAGCTCAGACAACTTACAAACATTAGCCTAAAATATATTTTATCTGTGAGATAAGTTCTTCTTTTATCTCATTTTGTAAAGCTAGTTGCTGGAGCATGCAATTTATGGGTTGTCTAATGCAGCAAACATGGTATGAGAACAACTTGTGGCAGTACTGATTTCCCAGATTTTAAGTGTTTGGAAGAAGCCTGAGAAGCATATATATATATCTATATATCGTATATCTCAACAGGGAGAAACAAAATGGCACATCATGTCTTCTCAAGGAAAGAAATGCCTCTTCAATTTTCAACAAATGCTTCTTCAATGATAAACGTTATTTGATCTTCTTTGGGAAAATGGAACATTGTTCATAAAGGACTTTTGATAAAGACACATAAATCCAATAGCACTTATGGGCAGCGGGTGATTCTTAAGAAGGTTTCTGGCTCATAACTCCTGCTGAAAAGAGGTTATATTACAAGTCACTCGAGGTTCAGAAAGCCCTGGGTTTGCAAATCTCTGTCTCTCTTAAACCCTAAAGACAGACCCCCCCCCTCACTCTGATTGGCCCAAAGGGGGAAAGGCAACACGCTGCTCTCAATTACTAATCAGGTGTACGGGCCCACACACTGTGTAACAGGTGATCTGAATAACCTGCAATCAACTCAGAGGGAACTGTGAGAGTCAGATGAAAGGGAAATGAAAACTACCAAAGAATGAGGGACTGTGACAATGTTTGTGAATGTGTTGAGAAAGACTCCAAGCAGCCTTACTGTACATCCCCCCACCCAAAAAAATGCATAGCAATACAGGTATATGGATTATTTATAGGAAAATACATTCACATTAGAGAACATTGTTATGTAACTTGGAAGCTAATAGACAAATGTTGTGAATATGTTAATGCAGATGACATCTTTGTTTACTGGCATAAAACCAGCAGAAAGATCTTAAATCCTACTGTTGATGGAAATGATTGAAATCTTACATTATTTCGGGATTTTTATTTAAAGTGGACCTATCATGCTATATTTGAATAATATAGTGTAGGACCATACCTATATAAGGCATATTTATACTTTTTTTTTTTCAAAATACCAAACAGATCATGCATTTTAGCCATGCCTCATTTTGCTCAATTTGACATTGTTTAGCTCTGTTTTTGCAAGGGCTGATTCTGTGAGAACAGCACCATCTACTGGCCAGGCATATGTACTACAGCGTCTCCAGCGCTTTCGAAAGGCAATGGCCGTGGCTGTCTCCTCCTGATTGGTGGAGTTGGCCCAATAGCCGTAGCGCCACCGTCCTGACGTCAGGACAGTGTTCAAATCTGGATCAGTTTTTATCAGATCCGTTGCAGCCCCTTTTTTAGAGATTTGGGTATGGAGGAAAATAGAGAGGGTTGTGTTTTCTGACACTTGGTGAGTTCCCTGGAACACCGGGGACACATATTCATGTATAAAAGACGTACAAAAGGGCATTTTGCATGATAGGTCCCCTTTAAAATTAAAATGTGGACATGTCTGTTCCTCAAGATCTGATAAGGCACAGCTGCAACAGTCACACAGAATATGGTAGAGGTACATTCATCGCACAATATATTATAAAGCTTAAGAAAACCAGAGTAACTGACACTCACAATAAACACACCTATACACTGTAGTTTGCCATTTCTTCAGACTTAAAATAAGTGTCTTATCAGTGTTTTATTTGACTGTAAATTCTATTTTTTGTGGAGTCTGCCATATAGTTGTTCCCAAATGTTGCAAGTCGTGCTGCAACAATATCAGCTGTCATATGTTTGATGTTCAAAAACATTGTGGTGTCATTGTTTGCAGGATGTTTCCATGTCTAATTGTTCACCAAAGGACACACAGATTACACATATTTTCACATTTTGAAAGACATTTAAAAAGTTGTCACACTGACATACAAATACAAACAGTGTCATACAGTATCAAGCGTAAATGGTTGGCTTATTATTCTGTATTTTTCTCATAAAAAAGCTTTGTTTTGAAAAGAGGGAGATCAGTTAATTGGCTCTCTTGTGACAAAACATATTTTTTAATTGGATCCATTTGTAAGGGACACTTTCAAATATTGAACACAAGTGTTGATGTTTTATGCATTTCACCAACGTTAGCTTGAAGCTTATTGCATTTGCTGTAATGGTACAATAAAGAACAAAAGGAGAATGTGAAATAAACACATAATAACAAGACACATTTTAGTAAAATGCAGTCTTCTATCATGCGAGAGTTTGAAAGTAGACATTGGTTTGCTCCAAGACTTCCACTTCCCTTGAACAAGGCGGCATTCATAGTTATTTACTGTTTTCTATTCATGGTTGAGTGCATTTCTTCTGTCCCTGTGTGTCCCTCATAACAACTCGTCCCAGTTTTATTGTAGATGTAATTACTCCTTTCTCTGCCTTTGTTCAGGGGCAGAACAGTGATTTGTGCCTACTCCATCGAAGACATTGACGTGGCTTTCTCCACTTCCAAACTGAAGGGCTACAGCAGCGCTTTCATTGGCTCTCGCCCTGGGATGGTAAGAAAAAAAACCCTGCAACAATCTTTTATTTCCTTTTCACTTATCTGAGAAAAACAGCTTTGCGATAAAATGTTTGCATGAGACAGCCTTTTATTGCAGAGGTGAACGGATCAAAATGCTATTTTTTGAAAGGCACGAGTTGATAAAAGAGAAGCAATTTCAAATTCTTTGTCCAAGGGCATCTTGTTTATTCAGCCTGGTCTGAATCGATTACGTCACTTCTCCCCCCTCAGTGCGTACGCAAAAACTCGACAACAGGAGGTCACAACGACATCAAAAACCTCGGGGTGATCAGATACCACCCGGAGATCGAGGACGTGATCCAGCCGGTCGGTGTGGCTCCGCTCGACCTGCCCATGGACGACGACCAAATCACACACACTGTGGCGGACATCGTGATGGCGGTCAACGACGAGCACTACAGCGTCCTGTACATCGGAACAGGTGTGTGTGCTTTGTTATATATGTGTGTGTTAAAGCTTCAGGTGTTTGTCATGGAGTATCTGCGTCCACTTCCTTTTTTGTGCTTTAATGCGATCGTTATGATTTCACTTTAGGAAATGCTTGCCTCTTTTTCAAAAGAAATCTCTATTGGCATTAAAAACATCAATTCAAAATAAATGCAGTTTAAGCTGACCAATCACAGTGATTTTCATCTTCAAATGGCGTCTCTGCAGCAGCTATTTTGTGGTTAAATTTCTCAGCATTTACATCAGCTTGGGTGCAGCCTATAACGGATACATGCACATGTTCTCTACTGCAGGTTATAATCCCATTTCACTCACTCTTATCTTTACTTGAGCCGTGTTTTAACGTCACGTTTGCAACAACCCATGTTATCCTTTGCTGGCCACTAGAGGGCAGAGTACCTCAAACAGAACTGCACTGACATACAGCCGTGACATATTATTGCCTTAAAAAGTGACCCTAACGTTTTGACAAACAATATTTGGATACCATTAGTACGACATTATCGTCAAGTTTGTGTTTTTTTCTTCTTTTAGCTCTGATTTGGTCTCCTCCTAAAACAGTGGTTCAAAAGGTCTGGGTTTAAAAACAATATCTGTCTCTTAAGCAGCCAGATGTTTAATTGTCATCCTCAGCAAGTTGCTAGCGTGCTGAGCAGGTCGTTTTATTTTCAAGGCAATTTTTGCTGAAAACAGCACACTGCTGCGACTGGAAATGGGACTGAAGTCGTAGCAGCAAAATATATGATGGCAAATACTTAAAAAATAAGAAACAATACTTCAAGCCCCACCCATCTTTGTATAAAGTATCTTGCTTATGTTCCTGCTGCAGTGTTTCTGTTGGGTTGTTCTAGCAATTTATAAAGAGGGTTGGATCCTGTTCTCTGCAACTGATTCGATTCATCAGTTATCTCATATATAAGTAAATTAATCCTGTAACTAAATGTTATATGAGTTTAGCAGCACACCACTATTAGCAAGCTGGATAAAGAAAACAAGAACAGGCATTTATGTAATGCAAACAATGATTGAATACAAAATGTACAGCTGCATTAATTCTTAATTTAGTCACTGAAAATTGACAGAAGTAAAAATATATTCTGTTCAAAGCCTATCCAAACGATTCCTGGCCTTCACACGACTGTTTCTATTTGATCAACTGCTGTTGCTGCTCCGAATATTGCCTTGTGCCTCAGGGAGATTACTATGGCAACCATCACAAGTCATATGTTCAAGTCTGCACGAATGTCTCACCACAACGAAGTTCATGGGAAAAGATGAGCCAGTGTCATCTTTCTTCTGAGTGCAATTTCTCACAGGGTATGTGACTGTCGTTCACCCGGCTGTTCTGGGTTGTTTCTATTAAAAGCAGACAAAAAAAAAAACATGAAACAAAGTGTTAAAAATGACAGAACGGCCGCTCGCTGTGGGATGTAATGACTGTGTCAGTGACAGGAGGGGGAGGATGGAGAGATGTGAACAGCCAGGGGTGGCCTAAAAAAAAAACTAGAGCAGTTTAGTCGCAGTGGTATCTGAGGACAGAGGAAGAGGTTGCACTGGAGATATTCTGTTTGATGTTTCCTTTTTGAAATGTATTCAGAATCAGTATAACAATCAGAAATACTTTAAAGTGGACCTATCATGCTATATTTGAATAATATAGTGTAGGACCATACCTATATAAGGCATATTTATACTTTTTTTTTTTTCAAAATACCAAACAGATCATGCATTTTAGCCATGCCTCATTTTGCTCAATTTTACATTTTTTAGCTCTGTTTTTGCAAGGGCTGATTCTGTGAGAACAGCACCATCTACAGGCCTGGCATATGTACTACAGCGTCTCCAGCGCTTTAGAACGGCAATGGCCGTGGCTGTCTCCTCCTGATTGGTGGAGTTGGCCCAATAGCCGTAGCGCCACCGTCCTGACGTCAGGACAGTGTTCAAATCTGGATCAGTTTTTATCAGATCCGTTGCAGCCCCTTTTTTAGAGATTTGGGTATGGAGGAAAATAGAGAGGGTTGTGTTTTCTGACACTTGGTGAGTTCCCTGGAACACCGGGGACACATATTCATGTATACAAGACGTACAAAAGGACATTTTGCATGATAGGTCCCCTTTAACTATCCAAGGGGGGAAAATAGATTTTTGTGACAGTTTTGCCATTTCTTTTTTTTTTTAAATAGAACGAAAGAAAACAATATTATTAATTGTATAAACATAAGAATGTGCAATACAAGGATAAGATATATACACATTAGATAGATAACATAATAGATCAATAGTGTATGTAGTGACCACGATATCCATTTGTTTTAGTCTTTTTTCTGTGATTCACTCGTGGGCTGACCGATGAATAGACGCTTGAAATGTCCAGATGCGATTGAAAAGTAAATTGTGCTTGTTTATTCCAAAAAGGCAGTGGAAAAATTCAAGTTAAAGTAATATGTCCAATGAAGATTACATATTAAATACAAAAGAATAAAACACCATACAAATAAAATAAGTAAAGTGCCAATTTTGTGAGTGCCTAACGCTCCAAGGGACGGGTTAAACAGTCTGATGGCTTCAGGCTCTGTGATTATTCCGATCTGTTTTATGTATTCTGGTTTCATTGAATTCATTTATTCTCCAATTCAAAGTTCACTTTCTTATTTATATGTCCCCGAGGTGCAATTGGTTTTGCAGCATGGAGCAACACAGACTCCCCATCTGCCTGTTATACAGCACAGAAAGGTCACTCTGCTGGACTCCTGTAACAGCTGCTTGTATTTACTATTTTACCCAGTGAATTCACAGGGGGGACTGGCATATAAACATCAAATGGAAACTGTTAAAATGGATTCAATGTAGGACTTCAGGATCTGTCGAGGCAACTCATCTATCTGCATAATGTATTCCAAACACGCCCTTGTATCTGTACAAATGATGGAGAGGACGTGAAATAATCCAATCTTTAGTGAGTGGAGCAGACACACACACACACACACACACACACACACACACACACACACACACACACACACACACACACACACACACACACACACACACACAGCTCCGCTTCTGATGGATCGTAACATTAGAGCAGGGTAAGCCAATCAGAAGAGGAGCTGTGGCGAGCCAGGGTCCACCTCTGGAGCAGTGGCAGTGAAATCAGAGCAGATGCATTTTGGGTAGCCCTGGGACATTTTTTTTCAATAAATATCTTCCACAAAGACGAGCACAGAGACACAAGCCGCACCGTTTATATGCAAGACTGAGTAATGGCTGATGTTAGTGTGATAGCCTGGAGGGTAAATACAGAGTGTTCAGACGATAAATATCAATACAAGGGATGAGTTCGATGAAGAAGACCAGAAAAAACATGAATTATTTATGCTTGAATAGAACCGTGGTGCATATTTCCATTCTGGTTCGGTTCATTTAGCAATGCATGTCGATGTCACAATGACATGCAGACTAAACAACCACATTAAATTCACTTTAGTTTTGCATCGATGTCGACAGCTATTTTCCTCATCATGTCTGCGTCCTCTTGATTGTATTTTCCACAGCTACTCTTGCGAATCACTGTTCATACGCCGGGGATTATGAAATGGAAACAATAAATGTTGAAGCTAGAGAAAAAGAGATTAGCATTGTTGAATAATTCTAGATTTAAAAAATCCCATGGAGATCAATAATTATTTTCACAAAATACCTTTGCATAAGATAAACATGCACAGAATTGCATATTTATCTCCACCCTCTTTTTCTTTTCATGCATCTTTGATTTTGTATGCAAAATGTTATCTTCTTACAACATATTCAGATGATCAAAGCGAATATTCCTGGGTAGTTTTACAGATTCAGAGTGACTTGACTTTGTGTGTTAAATGGCACCTTGATGAGGGCTGTAATATAGGGGGAAATAACATAATACATGGCGTACCAATGCATACTGTGTTCCCGACATTGTTAACTTCCTGTCTGTCTTCTTCTGCTGTTCCCGTTAGTGTTTACTTCCTGTCTGTCTTCTTCTGCTGTTCCCGTTAGTGTTTACTTCCCGTCTGTCTTCTTCTGCTGTTCCCTTTAGTGTTTACTTCCTGTCTGTCTTCTTCTGCTGTTCCCTTTAGTGTTTACTTCATGTCTGTCTTCTGCTGTTCCCTTTAGTGTTTACTTCCTGTTTGTCTTCTTCTGCTGTTCCCGTTAGTGTTTACTTCCTGTCTGTCTTCTTCTGCTGTTCCCATTAGTGTTTACTTCCTGTCTGTCTTCTTCTGCTGTTCCCTTTTGTTTACTTCCTGTTTGTCTTCTTCTGCTGTTCCCGTTAGTGTTTACTTCCTGTCTGTCTTCTTCTGCTGTTCCCTTTAGTGTTTACTTCCTGTCTGTCTTCTTCTGTTGTTCCCGTTAGTGTTTACTTCCTGTCTGTCTTCTTCTGCTGTTCCCTTTAGTGTTTACTTCCTGTTTGTCTTCTTCTGCTGTTCCCTTTAGTGTTTACTTCCTGTCTGTCTTCTTCTGCTGTTCCCGTTAGTGTTTACTTCCCGTCTTTCTTCTTCTGCTGTTCCCGTTAGTGTTTACTTCCTGTTTGTCTTCTTCTGCTGTTCCCGTTAGTGTTTACTTCCCGTCTTTCTTCTTCTGCTGTTCCCGTTAGTGTTTACTTCCTGTTTGTCTTCTTCTGCTGTTCCCGTTAGTGTTTACTTCCCGTCTGTCTTCTTCTGCTGTTCCCGTTAGTGTTTACTTCCCGTCTGTCTTCTTCTGCTGATATCTCCAATGTTAGCTCTCTGTCTTTTAACTTCTTCTCTTGTTTTCTTGTACTTTTCTTTACTATTGATAGGTTAGCCATCATGAATCCAAAGTTTCGCACTCTCCGCAAATATAAAAATGAATATTTAAAACGTTTTTCACAGTGTTTTCTGATGGACGAAAACGTATGTTTGTTATCCACAGCTGATGTTAAATCCATCGGACTCCTTTTTGTGGATTGATATGACTGCA